CGCCTCTGCGCGGCCGCCGCCATCGGTCCCCGAGGTCGGGGCGGGGCGACAGGGAGCCGGTCGCGCCCGGCACAGCCCGTCCCCCGGCTGTCCCTCCTGGTCACTCCCCCGGGATGGATGAGCCAGACCCAGCTCCAGGAATCCGCAAAGGCCACGCCCCTCCGGCCACGCCGGAAGTCCCGCCCAGAGCTTCTGCACTCGGGGAAAAGACTGTTTTCATTGGTCAATCACCAGCTCCGCGGTGCCAGTGCCTTCTGGGAAATGTAGTTCCCGCAGCTGCGAACGTAGAGGGAGTAGAGCCGCGGAGAGGGCGGTGGAGGAGAAAGGAAGGTCCAGAACCCCCCAGATCTCATCCAGAGACTATCCTTACTGCTGCGGCTGGATTTCAGTTTCCCTGCGCAGCTGGGGCTCCAGTCGTTCCTTTTCTTGAAGGACTTAAAGACCATCTTGAGAGCCACAATAAAGTGGTTTCCTCGGACTGAAACCGTTATCCATATCCAAAGGGATGTCCCACGTCAAACTCAGCAGTGACGGAGCTATGCCTCATGTGTGAGAAAAGCCTCAGCAGCTGCTACTCCTGCCTTATGCAGGCCGCCCCTGAGCTTGTCGGGTTTGGCACGTGGCCTCTTTTTCGTCCACAAGGCCACAAAGAAGACAGAGGCCTTCCCTGCCTGCTGGAGAGCACTAGAGCAGGGAGCACTGGGTGCCTGTCCCAGTCGGCCTGGGGTTGGCTGTGTGGGACTTCAGGAAGCTGATTCGCCTCTCCTGGGTGTTGTTGCCATACACACAATGAGGCTGATCACAGACAGCCCCACATACACACATGGGGCTGATCACAGCCCCATGCATGATCAAAGTCATGCATGGACGGTGGTAACTGACCTTGGGGAGCATGTTACCCTGAGGCTGAAGTTGGAAGGGCCAGTAACAGGAGGCCTGAGGCCCTTGCCCCTCCAGCCACCAATAGCCTTCTGATCCAACCGAATAGGCCAAATAGAACCTGATTTCTTTTGTTTTTTTTTGTGTGTGTTTTTTTAAAATATATCTTTATTGACTTCAGAGAGAGGAAGGGAGAGGAAGAGACAGAGATAGAAACATCAATGATGAGAGAGTCATTTATCGGCTGCAGCCCGCAACCCGGGCATGTGCCCTGACCGGGAACCAAACCCGGATCTCCTGGATCCTAGGTTGACGCTCAACCGCTGAGCCACGCCTGGCTGGCTTGATTTGTTTTTAAATCACCTTCTGCATGTGTGGAGCATGAGGTGGGGCAGTGCAGAGGCTGTTGGGTAGTCCACAAATGGGTTGGTGTAGACCCCTACAAGGGAGTAGAGTTGGAGGTGTTGAAAGCAGAAGTGACAGGACATGCAGATGGTTGGGACAATGGGGCAAGGCTTAGGCAATGACAGTTACCTTGTCTGTGTGCCAGCAGGGCTTTTCCTGTTCTGATTTCTTGGTTGGTGCCCTGAAAACCTATATTTAGAGCATAAATAACACTGAAGGCTAATGTTTCTGGGGAAATGAAATGGCAAGATGCTCCCTGTCTTTATGTCACTTGCCTCAAAGTATAAGGTCTTTAGCACATTAAGCAATTAGTCTCCTCTCATGTAATATGTTCTGAGGTTACGCCTGGGAATTCCATCATTTTAACGCCATAAGGAGATATATTCATGTCTTTCGCAACCAACGAGCAGTTATTTTAATCAAAAGACGCACCTCTCTCTCAATCTTCATTGTTTTTCTCATTGTAGACCTTTCCTCTGGGTTCAGCCTTCTTCGGATTTGAGTATTATGTTTAGAATTTTATTTCCTGTGTGTGGGGGGTTCCATTACATTCATCGTTTTTGGCCTCAAATAGTCCTATGTCACAGTGTCTTAAGAGATTAGCCTGAAACAGTATGTTTCTAAACGTTTCTGTCATAAGTTAGACTACACTCCCTGGAAATGTGGGTGCGGCTCCTTTAAGAGGAAGGGACGCTCCGCCGAGCCTTCCCTTTCACAGCCCCACTAGCTCTGTGATTCGGCCTTTGCCCTGCAGGTGGCGCCAGATGCGCGTCTCTATGGTTGATACTGTGGGAACGACATTACCCAGAAGCCTCTGGGGCGTCGGACCAATGAAGGTTCAGGGAAGGGGCGCTTCCGTTCGCGCGGGAGACGTATGGGCGGGACTTCCTGTTTCCTTCCTGGGAGGACATTTTGTTTGCTTTTGGGTTAGTCCGCCCCCTCAGCTTCCCGGACCTGAGGTGACAGAAGAGGAGGCGGTACTTCCCTGAACGGAGGCGGGCCTGAGGCGCGGCCGTCGTGCCTCCCGCGTCCCCCGGCCGTCCTCGCACTGGTTCCTCTCCTTCCCCGCCTTCCGCGGTCCTCAGGTTCCGAAGGCGGAGGCCGCACTGGTGGGCCCGGCGCAGGTGGGTGCGGCGGCCCCGGGTCCTCCCCGACTTTCGTCTCTGAATCCTGAAGCTTCGAATGAGGGCCGCCCAGTCCGGACTCCGGGGGGCGCTCGTGCTGGGAACCCCGCTTCCGACAGCCAGTGGGATGGGACGTGGAGGGGCCGGCAGGCGCAACGCCTGGAGGTGGAAGCCTGCGCTCCGGCGTCCACAGCCTCAGGCAGCTGGAGGGGGAATTAGTCTAACGTCAGCTTGAGCAGCTTCGCCTCCATTCTGAGGGTGACGGGAGCCATGGAAGGTTCTGGACAGAGGGACACGTTATACGTATTTCACAGGCTGCTCTGGGGAGAACAGAGTGGGAGTGCCCGGTGGGCGGATGAAGTCCGGGTCTGAGGTAACAGCCTGTGGGTGGCCCTGAGGACCGAGCACAGCGCGAGGACAGTCAGCCCCGGGTCTTAGTGGCAGGGCAGGCACAGGGGACAGGCATGAGGCCTTGAGGCTCCTTCCTAGTTGCTTGTCTCTCACAGTCTCCCTTTTCCCACAGGTTCCCATGAACTCGGAAGTAATCATGGACCCCATACAGGTGAGGGGAGGATGCCCCAGCTCTCATGGATCCCATCGCCACCCCCACCCCACGATCTCCAGGATCGGGGTGTCATAGAGCACTTTACTTGTACGCTTCCAGCCTTTTGAGTCTGAAGACCCTGGAGAAAGCTCAAGCCCAGGGTTGTGAGTCCAGGCCTGGGGTTGTATGGAAGGGTTCCCACTTCGGGTAACCATTGGAATGAGGTGTGGAAGGTGCAGATACTTGGAGGTGAGACTGAGATAGGAGTTTTCAAGAAACTATAGGTCTCAAGAAACTACAGGCTCCCTCTGGATGCTCCACTGAGAACAGACTGTGGGATGAGTGTTGAGGGAGTTGTGGTGCACACCAGGGAGGAAGCTGCTTCAATATTCTAGGTGAGTGGTAATAATGGATGGGCCAGAGGGGCGGCTTTGTAGTTGGAGGAAGTGATTGGGTCAGATTTTCTCGTGAGAGAGAGAGGTAACCCCCAGGTTTTAGGCCTTATCAACTGGAAGGGTACACGCTGCCTCAGCTGAGATGGGCAAGTCAGTGTTAGAAGTAACTCTGTGGATATCAGTTCACCTACAGCTGTGTGAAGGGGCTGAGATGTTCCAGAAAACACTGTGGTGTCAAGTGAGCTGGACAGGAGTTCTGTGGGGGGGTTCAGGGTGGAGTTGTCCAAAGGGTAGATGATGGCATAGAGACAGGTTTAGGAGAGACAACCTGCACATCACAATGGCAGTGCAGTCAGTGAGCCAGGAAGGTGATGGGTCAACGACTGGGTGGGGGGCCAGACTTGTGAGAGTGATCCGAAAGAGCGATGTGCAAGTGGAAAGGAGTATGAACTGGTGGCCCCTGGGCCCTGGTATTGGGGCCTTAAGGAAGAAAGGTGAGCTCAGTTTTGGTTTTCTGGTAAACATGAACTTGGCAACCTCAGGAGAATTGGCTGCTGTGGTGGACATTGGTGGGTAGGGGACATGCATACAAGCCTGGAGTTTAAATGGTGCCTTTCTATCCATTTTGCTGTGGTGGACACTGTGATCAAAGGGACCAGGAGAGAACAGACCCTGTGGCACCCGGTCCTGGTATCTCCTCTCAGTTGAGTTAGGAAGTGCAGGGGCACAAATGTGTGTCCTTGGGAGGGTGGCTGCTCATGGACCTGACTCTCCCCATTGTGACAGGGGCAGGTGAAATTTGAGGACGTGTTCGTATACTTCTCCCAGGAGGAGTGGGGGCTCCTTGATGACACTCAGAGGCTCCTGTACCGTGATGTGATGCTGGAGAACTTTGCACTTACAGCCTCTCTGGGTAAGACCCTCACACCCACCCTAGGGTCCTGGACTGGGCTCTCCCGTTTTCCAGGGGGATCCTGGCTCTTCCTGTGTTACAGCCCTGGGTACTACCTCCCTCCCCAGTTCTGTGGAGTAGATGCTGTGGATGCCAGGCGTGAGCTGTGTGCACTGCCACCTCTGACTCCTGAGCAGTCCCAACACCTGCTGCCCTGAAGGCTTGTATGGCTGGCCCAGGAGTGAGGGATCTTAAGGGAATCCAGTGGATCATATCGATCTTGTCTTTGCCCTGACTGGGTGCCTCTGTCCAGATCCATGGCAACCCTGCACTCCAGGTTCTGCCCCCTTCCTCTAGCTGACATTTCTGATAGCCTGCCTGTCTCAGAAATTGCAAGTACCAGTATGGTTGGTCACTACTTGCTGGGACCACAGGACTATTTCTGTGAGACCCTACTTTGAGATTATATTTTATAATATTCAGTTCTCTTCTTTGAATGGTGGGTCACACAGACCAGTGCTGCCCATTTATCTGTCTTGTCTTTTCCTTAGGATATGCATCATCTATGTCCTGTGGGGTGGCCCCACTGGAGCTGGGCAACAAACCCTGGGTGTCAGACTGGGCACACATGACTCCAACTGGGACCAGAGAAGCACAAAGTGGGTGTGGCCCTGGTGAGTGGGAGGTGGGGTAGGTGTCATGTCAGGGCTGGGTCCCAGTCATTCCCTAACCTCTGTGTCCACAGCTGTTTTAATCCCAAGGCCACTGGCCACATTTCATTTCTGTCTTTACTTTCTCATTTATGCACTTGCCTTTTGTGCTCTACCTTTTGACCTCTGGTTGTCCCCCACCTCAGCCTCCAAATCTTACCTGTTCCTCTCCACTGCTCCCTCTGCAGTGCTCTCCAACTTTGGCCTAAACTTAATGTGTCAGGTGTGCACAGACCCCAAAGAGTCCTTAAATACCAGCAATTCAGTTGTACGTCTTAGGGGAACACAGCCTTCTGCACAGCTCTCACTTGTCCCCAGCAGCCAGTGCCTCACTGAAATCTGCTTGTGAATGACTTTCCTGGGTACCCCACATTTGTGTCCTCCCCCAGTCAAGGCCTCTTCCCTTCTATGACCTTTTGATGCCAATTGCCACATGGCAGCCCTTTACTCAACTTGAGCTACGACCTTGCTCTTAGTTCTGTTAGACACACATTTGTAATGTGACTGCCCCCGCCAGCCAATGTCAACTTGAACTTCACCAGCATTTGTGTGCTTTCAGGCTCTTGGCACGGAATGGAAGTTGAGGAGATACCTTTTAAGCGGAGGGTTTCTACAGAAGGCATGTCACACATCAGGACTCCCAAGGCAGGCCTGCCTACCCAGAAAGCCTACTCCTATGAGACATGTGGCCTGGTCTTGAAAGACATTATGCACTTGGCTGAGCACCAAGAAGCACACCCTGGGCAGAAACCATGTGGGAAACAATTCTGGTTCAATGCAAACCTTCACCACCAAAAACAGCATAGTGGAGAGAAACCCTTCAGAAGCGATGAGGGCGGGGACTTTCTTGTGAACAGCTGCCCTGTCCAGCCATTGGAAGTGCCATTTACGACTGAAGAGGCTTGTAAGGACTTCTCAACTAGCTCAGGCCATTTCCAGCACCACGCTCCTCACAGTAAGTGGAAGCTACATGGTGACACCAAGTGTGCAGAGGCCTTTCACAGTGGACAAAGGCATTATGAGTGCAGTGAATGTGGGAAAGCCTTTAGCCGCAAAGACTCACTTGTCCAGCACCAGAGAGTCCACACTGGAGAGAGGCCATACGAGTGCAGCGAATGTGGGAAAACCTTCAGCCGCAAACCCATTCTTGCTCAGCACCAGCGAATTCACACTGGAGAAATGCCCTACGAGTGTGGCATTTGTGGGAAAGTTTTTAATCACAGCTCCAACCTTATTGTACACCAAAGAGTTCACACTGGAGCACGGCCTTACAAATGCAGTGAATGTGGGAAAGCCTATAGCCACAAATCCACACTTGTTCAGCATGAGAGCGTCCACACTGGAGAAAGGCCTTATGAGTGCAGCGAATGTGGGAAATACTTTGGTCACAAATACAGACTCATTAAACATTGGAGCGTTCACACTGGGGCAAGGCCTTATGAGTGCATTGAATGTGGGAAATTCTTTAGTCAAAGCTCTGACCTTATTGCACACCAGAGGGTCCACAATGGTGAAAAGCCCTATGTATGCAGCGAGTGTGGGAAAGCCTTTAGCCACAAACATGTGCTTATTCAGCACCATAGAATCCACACTGGAGAAAGACCATATAAGTGCAGTGAATGTGGGAAGTCCTTCAGGCAAAGGGCTTCCCTCATCCGACATTGGAAAGTTCACACTGGAGAAAGGCCATAGGATAGCAGGGAATATGCTATCTCCATGTTCACCAGTGACTAATGTTAGAGAGAAGCTCTGTGAGTCGCTTTGGAGAGTAGCCATCAGCAGGAAGTTGAACCCCATCCATGTAAACACCCACCCCAGGAAGATTCCTCTGAGGGCCCACTGTTCAGGAAGCTTTCTGGAGCAATGTCACACTTTGTCACCTGCCCAGGACCCCCTACCAGAGTCCTATCACTGCCAGTGTCTCTGAAAGAAGCCATCCATCTGTGCAATGACAGAGTTCACGTTGTGCAAACATCAGCCAGACACGCTCTGTTAGGCAGACCTGTGCTGCTCCTCCCTTCCCAATAGGGAATCCTCAGTATCCTGAGCCCATTGGTCCTCACTCCTTCCTGCCCCCTCCCCCAGCTGATTTAATCGTGGACATGAACCAGTTTCAGCCAGGAGGATGCAAGTTTTGTCTTGCTGGCCACATGCAGAGGGTTCCAGTTTTTGTGGACATTGTTGGCCTCATGTGGCACTTGTGATGGGTTTGTCCAGCCTCCAAGTTACCTCACTTGGGATTTGCCTGCCCAATATACTGATTTTGCAACAGATGCCTTAGTTTTTAAACCACCTTTAATCTGGGGGGTTCTGTTCACTGTGGGCTGGGTTGAAGATAGAAGTGGACTCTGCCAGCACAAAAAGATGGACAGCTTTTGTGAGACACCAGGTGTGGCATCTCAGTGGTGTGAGCAGAACAGTGCTCATTGTAGTTTCAGCCTTATTGCTGCTCAACGCCTCCTGGAAGAATGCTGATCTGTGTGGGCCTGACCTTACAGCCTGTATGCCAGGATTATCCATGAGACCCTAAACGGTGCATTTGTTGTGACAACCTCTGGTGTGTCTGGGAACAGCATGAATTTGGCCCTTTGTTCCCAGGGGATGTTTCATATTTTCCAGCCCTCTTGAGGAGAACTTGATCCCCTGGGGCGTGCCAAATCCTTGAAATCTATTATTCATTAGACAGATGTCACTGTCCCCTAAAAGGACCAGGTAGGAATCATCATAATTGGTACAGAGACACTGATTAATAGGGAGTTGGAAGACTGAAGCAACTGACAGGATGTGACTTCTAAAAGTTTATCCACAAATGTTTCCCTCATTATGGCTTTGGTATGAGGGCTTATAGAAATTCTCAGGGCTCCAATATTTGTGTCTCTTATGGCTATGGTCACTATCAGAGCAATTGCTTCAAACATTTTCTGCAGTAAGCGACACATATTTATAGTGTACAATTTGATAAGTTGGAATATGTTTGCACCTGTGAAACCAAGATTCCTGAGTCTCTTTATAATCCCTCTCCTCACCCATTCCCAGGCAAACACTCATCTTGTTTTCTGTCACTAGATTTCTTTGCATTTCCTAGAATTTTATATATGACATATATGGACTAATTTAATAATACATACCTGGCTTCTTTGACTCTGCATAATTATTTTGTGATTTATCAATATTTTGTGTGTCAGTAGTTCTTCCTTTTTAACCCATAGTTTTGCTGAAAGTAATCCATTTTTGGGAAATAGTTCCAAAGCAGGTGATCCAGGAAAACACACAATAATGAAGCCACAGTACCCATTATAATCTTAACCTGAAAACAATGTATCGTTTATGACATGGTCTATCAGTAGCAGACTAATTCTGCTACAAGATGGAAGGAGACTCCACAGCAGTCAGAATACAAGGAGGTGGGGATTTGTGGGGGCATTTCTTGAACACCGGTGACCACATAGTTTTTAATTTTCTTTACCTTTTAGTCTTTTAATGATGGGTTACATTGATTTTCAAAAATTTAACCTTGCATTTTGAGGCAAACTCCACTTCATCATAATGTATTTATGTATTGTTGGATTTTACAGTCATGAATGCACTTCTTAATGGTGGGGGCATTCTGAGAAATGCGTCAATAGGTGATTTTGTCATTGTGTGAACATCACAGAGGCACTTACACAAACCTAGCTGGTCTAACCTGCCACCTATACATCTAGGCTGTATGGTATAGCCTGTTGCTCCTAGGCTACAAGCCTGTAAGTACGTTACTGCACTGAGTACTGTAGGCAGTTGTAACAACGATAAATATCTATGTATCCAAGCATAGGAAAAGTAAAAATATGGTATAAAAAAACGGTGCACCGTACAGGGCACTACAAGAATGGAGCTTAAAGGACAGGAAGTGAGGGAGTAGTGAGTGATGCGAAGGACCAGGCTTTACTATACATGAATGCAGACGGGCATGGGGTGCGGGCAGAGTCTGCGGGAGAAGGCCCAGGTCTCCTGACTCCCCACGGGCCCAGAGGATCAGTAAATCTCCGCGCTGGTTACCTGGACGATGATAATGAAGGGGCTGCACAGCGCCGCCTCCACGCTGACTCCTGCCTGTCGCAAGCAGGACGCAAACCTCAGCACTGTGGCCAGTAATGGGCCCGCCCTCTGCCGCCTTCCGCCTCCCCCAACCTCCGGCAAGCTTCTCAAATGCAAGTCCTGTCGGTCCCTCCCAACAACCAGGGCCAAGGCCCCACACCGCAGAGGGCGGCGCTACAGCGGGAAGGCGGGCGGGGCGGGAAGTACCAGATTGACCTGAGCAATGGAGAGTGCTCAAGACGAGGGAGCAGGTGGCCCACATGAGCCTTGGATACAAGGGCCCCAGAGGCCTAATCTTGGGGACTCGGTGAGGGGTGAGGGCCTCCACAAAGCGCAGCCGGAGACGCCCCGAGGGCGCAGGGGGACTGGAATCAACCGGTGCTCAAGTCGGAGGTGGGGGTGCGGACTTCGACCCTGGACCTGCGTTGATGGAAATGGAGAGATGTTGGGCGCTGTGGGGACTCAGCAGCCTCGATGGGGACCAAACAGGCGCCCCTAAGGGCACCGCGCCCCCTGACCTGCGCCTGCCTCGCCTGCGCGCTCCTCTCGCCTTCAGGGGCGCACAGCACAGGTGAGCGGCCCATCAGCGGGGCCGCAGCTGCTCCTCGAGTTCACGCGCTTGGCTCGGGACAATTCGCGACCAGAGAGGCACGACCCCGCGGCAGGGAGGAGCCCGGAAAGCCTCGGACGCAAGTCGCTCCCTGGACACTCTGGCCTCAGCCCAGAAGCCACAACACAAGGCGGACCCTGGTACTAGCCCTCCGACGGGCCTCGGTGCACGTCTCACTGGGCTCCGCCCGCTGCCCCCAGACTCCCACCCACGCTGACGTCACGCGCCGCTTGCGGGTCGCGTGGGGCTCCCATGGGTCTGGTAGCACTTGCCCATGGATAGTGGGGCGCATGACACTTAAATTCTTATTCTTGCGCGAGAAGGCTGCTTTCGGGGCTGGACGGGAGGGGCCCACGCAGGAAGGGCCCCCGGAAAAGGCCTCAGACGCAGCCGGGTGACCGGCGAAATGTGCTGGGACGCAACACCACAAACGCGAGCGCCTCGGCACCCGAGCCCCGCCGCGCCTGCTGCCGGCCACCCGTCTACTCACCACCTTGGCCGCTCCAGGGTCACGTCTCAGGGGCACTGCCAAGCCGGGTGGCCCGGCCCGACCTGCATCCGCCGCTAGCGGTTCGAGAACAGAAGGACACTGACCGCGGCGGGGATGGGGCTGGGGGCCCCCTTGGCACACGACTGGGAAGCGCGCGCCACGCCTGGGACGCCCGCCGAGCAGGCGCGACCGGGGGCGGAGGTTATAAGCGCAGCGGGGTCACACCGGTGGCTACGGCTCAGAGTGGCGGCTGGCGGTCTGGGGCGCCTGGGTCACCCT